ACATGTAGCGGCCGCTACATTTTCAGTAGCGGTAGCGGTGCTACATTTAAGCAATTATAGCGGTAGCGGTAGCGCCCGCTACATTTAGAGCATGTAGCGGTAGCGGCCGCTACATTTCAAAGTAGCGCTCCCCAACTCTGGCTATGGAAAAATAAATGTTCAGACTCGAAATGCCTATAGCACCATATCGAACCTGGTGGAAGTCATAGTAGCTATTTCAAACTATCGTCAGTCCTGAAAAGATCTGGTCAAATGACACGATTTTAGATTTTCTGTGAACAAGTCACGAAAAGTTCAAGAATCGGCTACAATTGCCACATCAGGCCTTCTCTCTAGCGCCGACATCACTATGTTATGTTATGATCTTGATAGTTTAGTGAGCTGCTACGTGGCAGCTGCGTTGTAATGATGACAAGTGTGAAGTACTTCACCTCGGGAAGAACAATGAACAGTACGTATAAGCTTACAGCATGAGATGACATGGTTGCGACTAGAGAGTAATGATTGAGAAGTCTTGCGTGGAAAAGATTTGGGAGTTTATGTCGACAGGCACTGAAATTTTCTAGGCATATTGGATCGCAAGATAATAAATCCAATAAACTTCTAGATCAACGCTCCTACGAGTTCCTAGATGCAGAAGCAATTAATGAAGCAGTTTTTTGTTGCTGTCGTGCGCCCGAACCTATGTAGAGTTTGGAAACGAAGTTTGGTCACTGAAATTTGAAAAGGACAAAAGTTTAGTAGAGATTGTTCAAAGACGTGCAACAAGGATGATTCAAGGCTTGAAAGGCAAGATTTTTGAAGAAAGATTAATGATTATGAAGCTTCCAAGTCTCTAGCTGTTATCGACGTCTGCGTGGTGACCTCATTGAAGTATACAAGAATACTCATGGTCCCACAAGGAATACCAGAATTTGAAATAAGAACCAACACCAAGGGCCACGACTATAAACTAAAATAACTGCGTTGCAACTCATCCACGCGATATTTCTTCTCTCTTCGAGTCACCGACATGTGGAACAGCCTCCCCGATTACATCGTTGGCTCTCCGAGTATAACCGCGTGCAAGAACAGACTTGATANCTGGTAGTGCATAATGTGCATCACAAGCTTTTGCACAAGCTTTTTGAAGAAAGATTAATGATTATGAAGCTTCCAAGTCTCTAGCTGTTATCGACGTCTGCGTGGTGACCTCATTGAAGTATACAAGAATACTCATGGTCCCACAAGGAATACCAGAATTTGAAATAAGAACCAACACCAAGGGCCACGACTATAAACTAAAATAACTGCGTTGCAACTCATCCACGCGATATTTCTTCTCGCTTCGAGTCACCGACATGTGGAACAGCCTCCCCGATTACATCGTTGGCTCTCCGAGTATAACCGCGTGCAAGAACAGACTTGATACAGACTAGACTAGAAATATATGTTCAGACTTAAATGCCTAGCACCATATCGAACCTTGTGGAAGTCTAGTAGCTATTTCAAACTATCGTCAGTTTTGAAAAGATACGGTCGAAGGACCCTTTAGATCTCCTGTGAACTAGTTCTGATAAGTCCAAAAATCGGCACCAAGCCTATTCCAAACTGCCGACTATGCTACGTTACCTTTTGACATACTGCAAGATCGTACCCCATTACGCTTTACAGCGAGGGGTTTCAAAAATATATCAATATTAGGAAACTTGCTTTTACCATACTACTAAAAATAGACGTTGTTTCATATGCATGATTACTGAACACTTTGGCAGGTGGAGAGCGTGCACGGACAATTGCATCCCAGACTGAACTATTTTCACCCCCAAACCCGCGTCACCAACACTATAACGCAGCTCAGTTCAGTATCATGACTACGAGTACATAATTTAAAGGTTGTGAATTTGTAGACGTTTTTAACGCCAACTCGCCCTGTAATTTAAAACAAAATTAGTCATTACTAAACTTATAATGCCTGCTTGATGCCTCCTTCTAGCCCACCAGATGTAGTTAAATTTATTGTGCGATTATGCATGCATCCAATAAGATTTAGGCAGTTTGGAAAAGTCATGAAAGACTTCTTACACATTATTAATCAGTAACATGAATTACACCCGCATTTTAAAGTGATTAATACAGTACATATCCATATATCGAATGCTGGATGACTCCTTCCAATCCACAATATATAGTTTGTTTTAAACCCGATATTGCCTCGTACTAATTTATAATTAAGCCCTTTGCAGTATATACGCGTGATATTTATGTATTTCAGGAAAAAGTAATATCTAGAAAGTTGACAGTGTGCGTACATGGGCAGTTTAAAAAAAAAATATTTTATATTAAATGATATAGCATAAACATGTGCTACTGAAACATGAATTATGGGCAGTAGTTTAGCACGGGCTAAAAACGTGGTAACGTTAGCGAGGTCGATGGTGAATATCGACTTCAGATTATTACCGTACCATGGCTTACAATCAATGTAGCATGACTTGCGGTCACCGTAGCATGACTAATAATCAATGTAGCATGCCTTACGGCCACCGTAGCATGAGTAACAATCAATGTAGCATGACTTACAGTCAGCGTAGCATGGCTAACAATCAATGTAGCATGCCTTGCGGTCGCCGTAGAATGGCTAATAATCAATGTTAGCACGGCTTACGGTCACCGTAGCAGGGCTAATAATCAATGTAGCATAACTTACGGTCAGCGTAGCATGGCTAACAATCATCGTAGCATGACTTACGGTCACCGTATGATGGCTAACAATCATCGTAGCATGACTTAAGTCACAGAGGCATTGCTTACAATGAATGTAGCATGACTTACGGTCACGTAGCATGGCTAATAATCATGGTAGCATGACTTAAATCACCGTAGCATGGCTATAACAATATATATCTAACCTTGTGCATCCAATGTTTTCTACCGGCACACTTTACTCCAAAGTTTAGTGCCTGCACGGCATCCCCCGTGCAATTCTCGCCACCGCAAGACGATAAAATATTTCTGTTTTATTGCAAAATGAACGGCGAGGCGACAATTTTTCGCTGGTGAGAATTAAGTCCATGACCTTATAACTGTGCTCGTGCAGTGTAAATCATGTAAGTAAGTTTTATTTATTGATAAAAAGTCGTCCGTTTAATGTTGGAGGAAGCTAGTTGATGCTACCAATGGACATCCTCAGGTGCCCCGGTCAAGGAGGTGAGGTGTATGGCAGTGTATAGGGTCGGCGCTGGAGATGAGGGTGCCCCTGTAGCCTGTAGTCCACTTGGTCAATGTTCGTATACAGGAACGATGAACTCGTCCTTCATATTCTCTATCATATTAATATGTAATTAATGCTATATGTTGCTGCCAGCAATGTTTTAATCGCAGCTCTGAAAGTAATAATGTAAGTAACTGAATTCATGTTGTGGAAAAGTCATTATTAGTGAAGGAATTTATTTTTTTAGAAATGACGCCCCATCGTTCTTTTAATTTTCATAAAGAATGTGATTAACATTTTAACATTAAATGTGGCAAGTCTTCTGCATTGAAGTAGAGGCACCTCGCGACAATTTTGTGTTGGCCGATTTCAAAACTGATACCTGATACAATTTCATACAATGCAACATACGATGATATCGTACAGAGAACGAGTCATCCGTTACTATGCAGTAAGTTTACCCACTTCCTACGACCATCACTCTTTTATTTTAGATAACAATCACCTCAATATTTACCAGTGGAGTTTGGTACATAATTATATTCACTGAACACCATAATTTCCTCAGAAAATCTTTAGCAACTGCATTACAAACTAAATTATTCTCATGTCTTGTGAGGACTGTTCTAAAAACCAGTCAGTTTATACATATACAATTACTGAGTGGCGAAAGAAGATTGTATCAACTTCATTACATACGCTAAGTATCATTAATTCTTTAGATTAATTTAGCCTAATTTAAAAGACAAGTATTAGATGGTCTATAAGAATCTCCTTTTTGCGATTATAATCAAGTAGTGGCTATATGCATTTGAACAAACATAAACACTAATAAATGTATTAAGTCTAGTCATAATTTCTAGTTTCCATGTTGAGTCTTATAATAATTACTAGTTTGTGTTGTGAGTACGGTCCTAATTAGTAATTTTTGTGCAATGATTTTTGGTTTAATTAACAATTTAAATCATGATAAAAATCATAATTACCAACTTGCGTCTTGAGTCATGTACCAGCTCACGACGAACGGTTTTGGTAGAAACTTCATTGCTGAGATGCTGATTTAACTCTGCACGCACCTTTGTAGCCGTAGATCGCCAATTTTTTTCATAATGCGGTTTAATGTTCTTCAATCTCTATCAGATAGCTTTGAGGGTCGACCACATTTAGTGCAATTATTAGACGTTTCCCCCTGTTTTTCGAATTGCGTCATCGTCCTTGATATAGTAACAATACTACCGAGATCACTACAGCTCTCTAAAAACCGAAAACCTCAGCGACTTTAGTGATCGAAGCTCCTGTCATGCGAACATCAACAATTTATCCTTTTTCGAAGTCAGTTAAGTCGCGCATCTTACCTAATTTTTAAATAAATCTAGAATAGATTGTGCAATATACCTGTAATAGTAAAAACAACATATATTAATTATGTATGTATACCAATATAATGAAACTCTGATGAATATTTTGGACAGAGGAGGATTTTAAAGAAAAGGTACTAATAAGTGTAGTGTTCCAATTATTTAGTCCAACCCCTGTATATTGAAATAGCCTTTCTACTGACTGAAATAATCGCATTATATTAATATTTTATACGAAGAATTAAGCATGTAATTAGAATTAAACTTAAATAAATCCTGTCTTGTAGTATAGAAGAGACTGCGCCGCCCACAACGCAAGAGTCGGGACCGAGGTCGTCCTCCATCAAAATTCAATAGTGGCTATTGAACACTATAAAAGTATTATCAGTGAATATACATGTGAAAAATTGTGAAGCTTTGAACTGAAGGAGGTGAAGGAAACGAAGGAGTTAGTGAATGGAATAATTTATTGAATAATTTCTTATTATTGCAGGGCTATTTAGATGGAGATTTAATGTTCTCCCCTAGCCAAGCGAGGTAGGGGGGGTTGCCCCCCATTACCTGGGGGGAGGGGGGGAAAGAGGGGTTAAAATAAACAACCAATTAATAATTAAAAAATGAATTAGCGCTCAGTTAATAACATATAAATTCTTGCGCTTTATTTTGCATGCAAGGGAGCAAATTTTAAACTTGATATCATGAATATTGTCTAATAACAACGGGATTAATAATAATAACGGCAATAATATACGTTACCAATAACTATTATTATTTACCGCCAGACAGCCACTCACAGGAGTGGCCAGCACCTCACACACCCCCGCCACTCACAGGAGTGGCCAGCACCTCACACACCTCCGCCACTCACAGGAGTGGCCAGCACCTCACACACCCCCGCCACTCACAGGAGCGGCCAGCACCTCACACACCCCCGCCACTCACAGGAGCGGCCAGCACCTCACACACCCCCGCCACTCACAGGAGCGGCCAGCACCTCACACACCCCCGCCACTCACAGGAGCGGCCAGCACCTCACACACCCCCGCCACTCACAGGAGCGGCCAGCACCTCACACACGTATATAGGGGTGAGTGGCCACGACGTACTCGGTGACCTCGGCCAGCAGAGCAGCGCGCGTCTTGATCACCTGCGGCGAGGGGAGGTGATTGGCTGGCTCACTGATTACCTCAGCTGACATTTGATCATTGATGCTAAACTTAAATAAATATATAAAAAATAATACAATATAATGTGTGTAAATATATATAATAAAATATCTTATATATTAATATATACTTATTCTTGAATATATGTGAATATTATTATATAAAGAATAATAATATAATATAATGTGTAATCATTGATGCAAGACTAAAATNCATGATTGTTGCTTCTTTACAATCATGGCCAATCAGCTGACATGATTGTTGCTTCTTGCCAATCGGCTGACATGATTGTTGCTTCTTGCCAATCGGCTGACATGATTGTTGGTTATTTACAATCATGGCCAATCAGCTGACATTTGGTCATTGATGCTAGACTTAAATAAATATATAAAGAATAATATAGGTAATATAATGAGTGTATATAACTATTATATAATAAAATATATAATATATATTCTTGAATATATGAATATTATTACATAAATAATAATAATAATATAATATAATGTGTGTGAATATAAAAATACAATAAAATATATATTATATATATTTATATTCTTGAATAAATGAATATATAAAGAATAACAAGATAATATAATGTGTAATCATTGGAGCAAGACTAAAATGAATATATGTAAGGAATATATATATATATATATAATACAATACAGCACCCCTCCCCC